CTTGGAGCTGTCCATGTTGTTGTTATTATCACAAATAGAAAACAGCCAACCCTGCAAGACATTGGGTACCGTAAATCATGTAAGTTTTGCGTTAATTTATTATTGCAATGGCCTCTACACCAGAAATTTATGACACTGCAATTATGTCTTCATTTTATTATTACAGAGTTGATTTACTGAGGATGTGAAACGCTTCGAAAATCTCCCTTTCCGTCATACCGCGAAATAAAATCACTGTGAAAGTTTCACAAGTTACAGTATCCAGATTACCCCTTGAGGACAAGGTGGTTTGGAGTTCTGTGGTTGAACTGGTTGTTGTCTTGTACCTACTGCAGTGTAATACTAGTGGTCAACAGTGCATTTGTACATTGTTTATTTATACATGACTGTACATAATGATAATCATGGCGTGCAAAATAGGCCAGGTCAACATGTTTTCCTGGCAACTTGTCAAGATGAAAACAGGTGGCTTAGAGAAAAATATTTACTTCTTGAAACAGTACATAGCGGAGACTTTCCCCCAAACCGTTTTCATGTTAATTTCCTAGTTCAGTTTTCTGTAAGTTCATAATGATTAAAAGATGTAGCAAATTTTTTAAGATTGAGTATGATAAGTATAGAGACATCAATTTTTACGATAGAAATACATTTTTACCATTTTAGCTATGTGTTAAACTGTCAGTTCTGCTTTTGACGATGAGAGCTAATAAACTTATCAGACTGTGTGTAAATGTCAGTAACCATTCGAGAGCTCATCAATGCGTGGGTGTGCGGTCGTTTAGAAGTACAGTCTTACATGATATACATTTGTATGTTTAGGTCCACCACCAATTAAATTTATTGGATGAGGTCCGCGTGCGCATTGATTTTGGCCTGTTCCTAGAAAAAAAAAACAAGAAATTCCGCTTCCTGTAACTATGACCATAGAGTCACAACAGTGCCGCAAATTGTCAGATTGACGTGAAACCCGTAACGCGAAGAAAGTGTCTATTGACAGGACCATCCTGTCAATAACAGAAAATTCTTCACTGTCCACTACTGTTCCACCTGATTTATTGCTGTTTTGATGATGAATAAAAGACTTCTTGCTTGTTACACTGTGTCACCTCGTTCAATTTTTGTCCTAACATTTGTCGTCTCTTAGTATATTTCTAATCTAGGCGTCTTGTTTTCTCCAAAGGACGTCATCCATAAAATTTACTTGGAGTGGCCTTATATGTTACACTAAATTCTGACATCCAATCCATCCCCTAATATAATTAAATTGATCTATTTGGTTGAGAAATTAAAGCTTACTTATATTATAACTCTATTAAAAAGTCCAACAATTTTACGTGGTATTAGTACTTGAGCTGATCAGCTTCAAAAAAGGCAAGACGTGCCCAATAGCCGCATGTAAATGCTATTCTAGCCACAGACCATTATATTGTACCCCCAAGGTGTGCTGTAAAGTAGCTGCGGTAGAGATGAAATACTGATTTTATGTGTGCATGGTAATGTTACTAATAGTCTCTTCCTATCATTCGCTGTAGGCAAGGTAAGAGGTTTTACACTGTGCCTTAAAGGACTTTTAGTTTACTGACATTCCTTCTTGAGACATTATTATTGTTACAGCCCTCAGAATAAAAAAAGTCCAACGATAAGACAGTCTGATTAATAAAAAATGATTACTCTTTGGTGTGTCTAAGACTTTTATTATCAGGCATATTCTGTACAAAGTTGATCTTTTAATATCATTTTGTTACAATTTACAGTTTTTTGATGAAGCATGATGTACCTAAATTTCTCGCTCTGAATTGTGAATTAGGTTTAAAATATGTGGATGAACTTAAATGAACTAAACTGAGGTATAAAACCAAGACTAGTCTCAGAAAGTGTGTAAGTATTAGTAGAAAAATTCTGTAAACTTTCGGTTAGTACTCAGAAGACCTCAGGAAGTTCAAGGCTGGATCCCAGTTATGAAGGTTCCCCTCAACTTTTGAGGACAGGCAGTCTTCCAAGTTTGAGCCAAGAAAGTATTGCCAGATGTTTTCACCTTTCTCAGGAAGTGTCGTGTAGGTTAATGCACCAGGTCTCTGACGTACATGTAAGATGAACTATTCTGTTTCTGAATCAACATCCTCCTGGCTTTTCTGAAACTGTTTGTACTTTGGTTATTATTTCCTGCCCTGTCCTTGCGTATTTGCATCAGCATATGATCACATAATACATCATGTAATATATTTCATCATTTCTATCTGCTTTGACTTGTATGTTTTACTTGTTTTGGGTGGCTGAGCTGTGGGTTTGTGTACAGTATCTGTTTTTTTCCAGAGTGAGGAAACAAGATGGTACGTCTATGGTAACAAGATGGTCTCAATTTGCCTGTAGAGAGAGCTACATACATACATGTAAAAGGTTTTTGGGAGACTTGAAACCTTTTTGGCTGGCGAATCTGCATTTCTGCAGTACATACAAGTCGTTTACAATCTGATGTAGAGTGAGTTTCAAGAGATAGTGACATTGACAAAGGACCTGAAGTGGAACTGCTATCATCAGTGTTAAAAGGTTCCAGTAGCCAGAAAGAAACAAGTCCAGAGAGACAGGCAATGCTATCAGGTAATGTAACACATCTGCCAGATAATGGGCAGTCTAGGGGCTATCTCATTCTGAATCAGTAAATGGCATGTGGCTTAAAAGTTTTAATGTGAGAACTGAGAAACAGGAAAACCTACCATGTATGACCCCTACATGTGGGGTGTATTGATGTTCATCCAGCTTTCTCAATGAGGGTCTGCATGGGGGAATCCTGGCAATACTTTACTGTAAATTTAGGGGGCTCGGCAATGCTTAATAGTAAATTCAGGAGGGTTGGTAACTTTTTATTGCACTTGACAATGCAGTACAAATAAAGATTTTACCAATAACACAAATGATTGTATGATGAATTCAGGATAAGAAATAATGTGCTTCGTAGAATTAGAGCAACTTGCAATTATGTTTCACGAATAATTCATCGACAATGCTTAACGCTGAATTGGAGTGAGCTGGCTACAATTAACTGTGAATTTAAATAGCTTGCATGCAACTGCTATGCCTCATGCAAAAAGCATGCAAGTAGACTGTCTACAGTGAAGTCTGTCTTGTTATGCTTGTAATTATGTTACATAATAACAGTTCCTTCAACAAACTGCAAACTTAATAAAACGCCTTAAATACCTCCTTTCCCTGCAAAATTAGGTCCCTGCAAAGTCAATTTTCAGTCTATACATGAACTAGGATGTTTAAATGCCCTTGGAACTTCTAATTAGCTTTTTGTAATTAAATGCCATCAATAACATTCATGTGTGTACAGGTCACCTTCATGTATTTACCTTGTACTTGTACTTCTTCATGTATATTGATACACATGTAAGTGCATTTTTATATTAACGTACCAATGAAACTAAGAGAACTGACAATGTTACAGGCTTGGCCATTGCTACATACTATCTTAGCTGTGTAGCTGCTCGTCAGCTGTATCATCAAGTTGACTTTGAACTTGAAAGCTTGGCCTTAGGCAGAATCAGAACCTTTAAAACAGTTATTCTCTTCAAGGAAATCTTAAAAGAAACATCTGTGTCTAGTTAAGCTCCTGCCTTTGGCTTTGTTATCAGAAATTATGTGGGGAATGCATGTTGAGTAGAGCTGTGTTATGTCACTGTTGAGCAAGAGTGTGTGAACCCTTGTGTAAGGACATCTTTTGTTTATTTGCTACCTTCTTCAAGAAAATTTTAAGTAATGTTTGTGTGGGTGCCTGTGTGTGTGTGTGTGTGTGTGTGTGTGTGCGCGTGTGTGTGTGTGCGCGTATCTACATGTATGTGTGCGTGTGTGTGTGTGTATGTGTGTGTGAGTGCATGTGTGTACGTGCGTGTGTGTGTGTGTACGCGTGTCTGTGCATGCATGGGTGTGCATGCATGGGCACGCGTAAACATGAAAACTCTAGAAGGCATAGATGGATTGTGGACTGCCTTGATATTTGGTATGTGGGTATATGTATCATGTACAAATGTAGGTCTTGATGAGACCTTGAAATGATGACATTTTGGGCACCCTAGCAGCTGTCTTAGGTACTGCAGCATGTTGCAGCTTTGACAATGTGTTATGGACTTGCTATGGTGATAATTTTTAGGTGGTAGGAAGCTTTTGTTCCCATGCAGTGAGAATTGATTTGTATGTTTGGGCCTGCAAGCAGCTTGGCTATATCTAGCCATAAATTTTGCAGAAAATTATATTAATGTAATTCATAATACCCGAGGAGCAATCATATATATTGTATATTATTACCACATCTTTTTGGGATGATATATTTTACTATTCAATTTTCGTTTCATTTATTGTCATGACTATTCTAAAAGATGACCATAAATAACAAATTTATTATAGTTGTGACCATATTGTATTGATTATTTCACATAGATAAAAGAATGATATATCTTGTTGGGTCTAAATGTTATATTGTATTCAGCTTTCAGCTGCCTAGTAGACCCTATTCTGCTTTTTGTCAAAATCTACCACTGGAAGCTTTGGGTTTTTTTTAATGAATTATGCACCCGAACTTTCTGATAATAGTTGTTAAATAATAGCTAAAAGCATCCAATGCAATTTCAGGGCAGGAAAACAAAAAAAATATTCTTGATTAGCAAATCAAATTGATATTTATTGTCATTTCTTAGCACATTTTCGTCAGCATTTCATAGTTGAACTTGAAGCATTATATATATGATATGAAATGTTGAAGAACAAGCTACAAGTCCCTTTATTTTTGGGTACCACCCATAAATAGCTAGAACCAGCTTAGGATATACAAACAAGCGACCGCCAGCAATATTACATTTTTGTCTCAAAAGAATGACCACTGTGGAAAGTTGACTTTAAAATTCCAGTTTTGCTTCCCTAAAATTGTATTGGATCCCTTTAAATTACATGTAAGTAGTTGTTTTGTAATCATACTTTGAACGTAACCCTTTCCTTTATTACAGACATAAGCATAAAAAGCATCATCACTCCAAAAGTATAAAAAAAAGCAAGGAAAAAGACCTGCCAGCACCAACTTACAAAAGGTATTATAATAGTAAAATGTTGAACTTTATTCCAACACACAGTTTACAGAGAGATCAAATTTTCAGCAACCACTGTCGCCTTCATCAGGATAATTAATGACCAATCACTTCACAACATGTGAATATGGTCACGTGTGTTTGTAAACTGTAACTCTCGCGAGATCACGTTGTGAAGTGATTGGTCATTGATTATCCTGACAGTCGTCGCTGAAAATTTGATCTCTCTGTAAACATGTGTTGGAATAAAGTTCAACGTTTTACTATGATAACTACCAACACAGATGAACTTTCATGATTACAAAAGGTATTTTGTACAGTAGGTGGTGGGATTATGAATGGTGGGTAGTTGTGGAGGCAAGGTGATGCAGGGTGAGTGGGTTACGTTTTTGTTTTTTCATTAAAAACTGTGTATTTCACATCATGTTAAAAGTGTTTTATTTTTCTTCCCTTTTTCTTAGCGAGGACATACTTAACGAAAAGAAACCATGGCGTCTGTTACAATTCGGCATCACCAGATCCTCGCTGTATGGGAGAAACGACCCCAACGTGGAAAGAGTGCTGGATGCCCTGCGTACCCAGGAGGTGACTTATGTCGGTATGTATCTGGTTTGGGGAGCGCTGTTATTAGAGAGTGGGCAGGGCTCGAAATTAATGGTGTCCCGATGGCCACTGACCACTGAAATTTAGGCTGGGACAACTAAAAAGACACTTTGGGACATTTTGTTTAAATAATCAACATCAGAATGTCAGCCCTCCTGGCATGCGTCCTGGCTTTTGGCCCCAGAAAAGCCCCCAAATTTGTCTACTCTGCAATTATAACGTGCCTTGGAGTCAGAACGTGAGCAATAAAAAAGTCATACATACTTCCCGAAAAACTGGTTAGGACAGTACATACATGTACTGACTTGGGGACAATCAAAATTTATTTACGGGACAATGCTGGAACAATAGGAAAAAAAGTTAATTTCGAGGCTTGAGTGGGGCCTTGCCAGTGTGAACCCACTGGACAGAGATGCCTGGAGGTGCAGTGTGAGTGAGTGAGTGAGTGAGTGAGTGAGTGAGTGAGTGAGTGAGTAGTGCGTCTGAGTGAGTGAGTGAGTGAGTGAGTGAGTGAGTAGTGCGTCTGAGTGAGTGAGTGAGTGAGCGAGTGTCTGAGTGAGTGAGTGAGCGAGTGTCTGAGTGAGTGAGTGAGCGAGCGAGTTTCTGAGTGAGAGTGAGTGAGTTAGTGAGTGCATCTGAGTGAGTGTCTGAGTGAGTGAGTGAGTGTCTGAGTGAGAGAGTCTGAGTGAGTGTGTGAGTGAGTGAGTAAGTGGGTGAGTGCGTGCGTGAGTGAGTGAGTGAGTGTTTAAGAGGTAGTATGGATTGGTAGACAAGGAGCCTGCGAAGATTGGAATTCAGTTGATTGACAGGGTTGTGACTCGGTATGTCCTGAGTGGTACTAAGATATGGTATGAGTTCGCCAGGAATGTGTACTGTGTAATCATGGTATGAAACATACATGTACACGGTGTACATATAAGTGTGTGTAATATCAGAGTAACTTACACCATACATCGTCCATTCTATGATGTAATTCAATCAGGTATTTCCTCATGAATCATGATTATACAGTAAATTTCCCATTTGCATTAACGACTCCTGGAAGTCTGAAACCTTTGACTTTTGGTTAGATTTATACAAATTCAAATCTACGTGGCGACACCATGATTAGTCCTGAGAGTGTGTTCGTTACTCCCAATTTTGTTTTCCATGGATACTAGCAATAAGTACTAAATGACAAGTTGAGGTACCAATGTCATCATCATCTGGTCGTGAGAGTTTCACAGATGCTTGTGACTCTTTTCCGCCAGCCCTCCCTATCCTCCATGGCCCTGGGCAGGTCTTCCAGTCTGCAGCCCGCATCCTCACACAGTTGGTGTATGTACATGTACATGTAGGTTGTGCAGGGTCTGCCTACACTAGCATGCCCAGGTACCGATATACGCTATACCATGGTCTCACAAGTTGATCTATAGGTCATTGACTCTGACCTCTAGGACATTGGGATATGCCAACAAGTCAAAAGAGTCTCCTGGAATGCTTTGATCATGACATTTCATTTAAGGCCTACAATTTCTTCCTGAATGATATTAAGACTGAGGGCAATCATTATGTCACAAGTTGTACGTGTACATGTAAATGTCCTACTCCTATAGGTCCGCTAAAGCCTCTGAAACTTAATGGTAAACAATTATGCAGATTCTTGCAGAATGTACGGGTCACCTGTAGTAGTGTTCTTAAGTCTAGCACATTTAAGGCTTACAGTTCCCACTAACAGTTGTATCATTGTAGTAAGCTAATAAGCAGCTAATTGCAAGCATCTTTGCGCCTGGATTTCGAACTAATTCAGTCCCTTTAGGCAAAGAGGCGTGCGTAACGCCGACATCAGATTGTCTGCCGCCACCGGTATAACCACCGTCCTAATCATTTATCACAAATCTGCAGTCCACCCACCTCCACTCACAATCCTATTACAGGCAGGAGATTGGAGAAGAAACCTACACCTCGTACTACCGTCACTCAAGTCACCTTCTACTTTGAGTTAGTAACAGCTAGCTCTAATCTAAGAGATAAAGCTTTGGATGAGATCATTTTATCCAGTTACAGTTTTTTATGCAAGAAAGTAGAGGGGTAAAACCAACAGAATCACTCAAATCACCATCTAAATTAATGCCTCTACATAATAATGCCTCTCGCTAAAGCTTTGGATGAGATAATCTATCCAGTTACACATTTTATGCAAGAAAGTAGAGGGTCAAAGCCTACAGCATCTTTCAAATCAGCAACTAAATAAATGGCTCTACTTTGAGTTCCGAGTAATATAACACAAGAGCTAGATTAAAATCTTTGGATTAGATAATTTTGTGCAGTTATGAATTTTATACAAGAAATAAGATGGTTTTTATCTTTGACGAATGGATATTATGCATGTTCAGATTATTAAACATTAGTCATTAGAGAATTATCAGGGCATTTTAGAAACAGCTCTGTAAGTTTGGAATCAAAATCATGTGAGACAAAATTTGTTATACAAGAACTTTCTCATTTTTTTTCATTTATACATGACATTGTGTATATCAAAATGCCAATGTAGGTTTTGATTTTTACATGTTTACATGTATGTACATGTGTACATGTATATATTGAGGAAGTCTGTGTAATATTATATAAACATCGCCAATTTATTGTTATGTGATGAAGCAAAGAAGTAGACACGTCACAAAAAGTAGCAAGGAAAGTAATCTACCTTTACTAATGACCGTATGTGTCATCTTAACCCAGTGGGAAAAACGTAACTTTAATTACAGTAATTTTGCTAAATGCAAAATTGATCTTCCCTACAAATTAGAAGCACCGGTAATGAGTCGTGCCTTTTAAATCTTTTTCCTACTCTGTAATCTTAAAGCAAGTCAAATTGATTTCAGGGCAGTACGGTAAAACTTGGTTTTTGATCATTTTTTAATCAACGCTTAATATTCTGTAGCATTCTGATATCTGTGAGGCAAAAATTCAATGTTGCTGACAGAAAACTAGGGTATCTATCTTATCATAATATTATACTAGCTTGTTTCTAACTGTTTTTGGTAGTACTTAAAATAAAGGGACTCTTCAGATAGCTTATTTGAATCGCTTCAAGTATGAAATGATGACGCAAATGTGCTAAGAAATGGCAGTAATTGTCAAGGGCAGACAGATTTTGTATATTCTTTGTATTGCCACAATGGAATTGCATTGGACGCCTTTAAATTGTGACAAAGTGAGCTAGTCCTGTTACATTATGCAGCTGCTAGCATTATATTTAACAAATGTTGCGTTGCATGGTTGTACATATCAAATCCAAGCGATTGGATTTCCAAGGTGACACATCCATCTCATGGTAGAATGGTTTTTACGACCTCATCATTGATAGTATTAAGGACTGAATATCTCCAATAAATAGCAGTTCAAGGTTAAGTCTTCCCAGTGGACTGTGGTACATGTAATGCATACAGCCGACAGGTAACCCAGGGCTGGAAATGCTGGGTGCATGTGCACCTTAGTGCACCCTATTTTGGAGCTGTGCACCCAATTTTTTTTCTGTGGGTGCACCGGTGCACCCAAATATTTTTGTACTTTGTAGGTTTACATATGATTGTGTTGAATGTATAGTAGTATACAGCATATTCTTAATAACTACATTTGTGTCAGAAAAGTAATAAAATCATTGTAATAGTACATTTCTTTGGAAATGAAACATAATAAGTTTTTGCTGACATTCTACTTGTTTTATTTTATGTGGTGCACCCAAAACATTTTTGTGCACCCAATCTGTTGGGTACACCAGTGCACCTATTCCCAGAGATGGATTTCGAGCATAGATCTGCAGAGAGGTAACCCAATTATATTCCAACAGGGTGAGTCTGTCTACTGATTGGATGGAAGGCCTGGGAAAAGGCAGTTGAAATTGTTTCTCATATCCCGCCCGCGAACAGAGTAAAGCTCTGCAAAATGGGAAGTCTGCGGTTTGCAAATTGACAATCTCGCTTCTGAAGGCTAGCGTGGTTTGATTGATGTCGTTCCTGCAGTCACTACGCTCAAGAAATACTGATAAATAAAAGGCTACAGTGAAGATACAAAATTTGATGTCGTACCGTCAGTTTGTTTGATAGGAACATATCAAAACATGGTCCCTGTCAGAACTTGTAAGCTGCTGCTTTTCACCAATCTATAACATACATAGCACAGCTGTATGTAAAGGGTTACACTAGTATACATTACACATGTACAAGTGTAAATACTACCCCACACTCCCTGCTGAAGTAGAAACACAATCTCTAACCTCTTGGACCTCTTCCAAAATTGATGATACCATTGGTATGTTTAGTGCTTCTAGATCATGTAGTAAATTTAAAGTATTTTGTGGTGGGAAGTTGGGGATATTTTAAGGGCAATCTGTATGATTTCTGACCATCAATGACAAGAAATCAGACATTTCAGATCTGACATTTCCGACTTCTTGGAAGTATATGCATGCCATTCTTACTCTCTAAGCATCTAGGTTTAGGCTTAGGCGTATTTTTGACTACCCTGGGTGCCATCCTTCGTAGTTTCCGCCGGCTCCTAATGTCTGTGTCCAGCTTTGCGGAAATGCCCACACAGATTTTCCTTTGAATTTTGAATACGGTCTAAAAGGTTTAGTGCCAAAGACAACATTTGTCACTCACAGCTGTCGAGACTGGAGTCTAGCAGTCACTTACGCAGGCAGGATGGATCAGATATAATTCACACCCAAGGCAGAAAAACCCATTTTCCCGTCACTGGATAAGACTCCTATCGTAAAAGCGACTTCCTTGAGTTATGTGCATTTTAAAGTTTGTAATGCACGATGGTGGGAACGGTTATTATCTATGCCTGAGGTTTTTTAGGTGTTGAAACATATACGCTACAGTACAGAAAACTACAGATCTCAATCAACTTCCCTTCCCACGCGTTTTCAAGCGCTTTTAACTCGTTTGTTTCTTGCGCAAAAGTTGTGCAAATTACTTTAACTTTTACATCGCATGCAAAAGCAGTGTAATGCGCCGTTAAAACTGCAAAAGCCTTATAAACAACATTTATAATGTACTATAGTAGTTATTTAGCTGCAAGCGCGAGTGGCTATCTACATGTATATAACACATAACCACCTGAAATTACATGAACATCTTACTACATGCGTTTTACACGAGAAATGTACATTCCAATATTCAAGAATTGCATGGCATTTACACACATTTAGATCGAGAAATGTTGGCTTTTAATCAACTTTTGTCGAGCTTTATACTTTATGACATTGATCATCTTGAGTGGTTGAAATTGCAGAGGAGAACTATCAACTACAGTAACTGTAGACATAGATGTGAAAACTCTAAATCCATAAATCAAACCTGCCTTACACAAATACATCAGATTTGCAGGTGGAAATTTCCATTTTCACATCAAGAGTAGTAATAATCTCTGATACGATCATCTTTACACCATAAACACAAAACAAATCTGCGCCGCAATTTCACAGCGGTCCCTCATTGTGCTTCCTCTTTATGTATATTTAGTGAGCTTTAAACATCCTGCTTAATATTTGTCTGGCAATAAGAAGTTTGATGGTATCTCTGAGATAACAGGATCCAGAGGGAGTGTAAAATGCTTTATTACTATTTTACTATCTATTGCCTTCACCCTTCTGATGTTACGGCTCGCGGCTCGCGGGTTTTGTTTAATGGTATGGCGCTCCGCGTGACGTCGAAACGTGCGATGCCGGCTTACGATAAGAGTGCGACATGTAAACAAATTGCGATTCCGGCTTAAGATAAGTAAGGACTTACGGAGCGTGCTACTTTACTGCGCCGACGTTCCCTTAAAAGCAAGTCACTTGAGAGAACTGTCTTGTTCCTCAGAGGAATTTTAGAGCAATGGAGTGATTCCTGAAACCTGTGAGCTGTACATTGTAAAATGGTATCAGCAGTTGGAAACCAGCTCCCTGAGTTACTATCAAAATCGCTCCATGTACAGTATAGCTTAATTCACACCTTCATACAAAGCTATATATATGTTTGTATCATGAAAAAGTAGAACCGGATTTTGACAAAGATTATTCTTAAACAGGATAGCAGCTGAGTATAGAATTTGCTCCATTGAAGGCATTAAAGGTATGAGTTACTATAACATACTGGTTTACTGAGAATTAAGGAAATATCCGTTGACTGTGCATCTGAAGATCAGAATGCAAAAAAAGTATTTCGAGCCTTGAATATCGTATGACGTTTAAATATAACCCTGTTACAGGAAGTTATTACGAAAATGATGGCGTTCCTCCAAGGAAATAATTCGATCCTAGATGGAAGATACTGTTCCTGACAACCTGTCAGCGATATCATAGCGGCTAGATTAAACCGAAGGTGTGAAGCCCGGACACTGTGCATTGAGCTGTGTGCACTGTGTCAGCATGCACATACTGTGCATCCTGAAATCGGTGCTGTGGTTCTATCTAAATTCTTCACAGTTTTGATGATTATTATTGGTTTATTAGGCCACACCAATTTAATTTCTTGGTTAACGGATTTTTCTAGAAAAATAATGGAGCGGGCGGGACGAAAAAAAAAAAATAAAAACAGGCCTTGGCATCCTATTATGGCCCAAAATGGTACGATAGGAGCCATGAAGTCAACACACCAGGCTGGTTCAAAATCTAAACAATGAATTTTGAACTTTTAATGATACTGCTGCATTGAAAGATGGAATGACTGTAACAAGTAGTAAGAAAAGGACTGTTTTCAACTTTTCGGGGCAAAATATGAGCACTTTGCAGTTGATTCTGAATTTTATTTTTATTTGCAAATCAGAAAAAAATGAAGCGGCGAATCCATTAACCAAGAAATTAAATTGGTGTGGCCTTAGAAGAAACTCAACACAATCTGACATAGCAGTCAAAAGACTGAATTAGCGTCAGACTTTACAAAAGTTAAATTAGATCAATCAAATGGGTAAAATCTCATCACAGCTTAAAATATGTTAACACATGATAAAATATTTACAGTTCATTCAGTCCTTCTCATACGGAAATATATAAAATCTGCTTCCACATTTTAAAAGTCTACAGTACAGTTCATTCAACAATTTAGTCATTGCAGGGATAGCACTGTTTAGGTAACGCTTAGTCCCAGTTGGCTGTTGGTAGCGTAATTTTGCAGTGAACTCTCCACCGCTAAAATTCGTGACACAACTTTAATTGTTTGAAGTGAATTACCCCGTGTTCCAGTTAGGAGTATTTGGACCTTTCCCAGGGGCACAAGGTCTCTGTGACATGGCAGGATTCAAACCCGGGACTTCTTGGTTCTGAGTCGAATGAGCCCACCAAAAGAAAACTCATTTACCTCCATATGACCACTTTTAAAACACTAAGCATAACAGTTTAGTTGGCATATGTAGTAATCAAAATTCCAACCACCCATGCCCAATTACAATGTCTTGACTTGCATGGAAAGTAGCCAGACAGCATCAATTCTGCATTGTCCACATGAGTTCTTTTCACTCCCAATCATTAGTATGAACTCTCTGTTGTACAGATCTAGACAGGTCTGTTAATTCATTTTGTTCCTAACTGTATCTTTCCCATCGCTAGTACATGTACTTCAAATAAAGGTGACTTGTTTTTCCTAACCATTCGTAGGTGGTCTTGACCTTTTCTAACTGCGTTTTCCCTTCAAGCCTGAAAAATTGATTAGTTTTTCCCCTGTACCAATTACTGTGTGAGGAGAGCTGTTCCTAATGAGGACCACTGGGAACCACGCTTGCCTCCTTCTTCTGGCCAAAACTTCAAATGAAGACCCAAATACCTCGTATAGATTTTGTGGGCAAATTGCACATAAACGGCTCGGTTGCTAAAACCCTGGCTCACTGCCCAGTTTCTAATGCTCCGTACCCTTTTTCTGGAGGTTGAGCTTGCAGGAATGATATTTTACCATTAAATTTCCTTCTGGTTGGTTGGTAATGTTAAATGCTAAATGGTATAACCTGGGTGACTGGGGAAAATTTGATATTCCCCTGGCAACATCTCTTTCAGACCCGCCTTGGACCGGTGATAGGATCTCAGTGTTTAATTGCCCGAAGAGAAAATACACGCCGTACAGACTGTTGAGCTTCACCAGTAGATCAGGCATTACGATCGTCAGTTTAGTGTTAGAAATACTCATCTGCAGTCTGCATTTTGCAGAAAAATTTTCCATTTGCAGAAAAAAAATTAAGCAGCCTGTAATTTTGCAGACTGAAAAAATCAGGATAGGGGTTTAATTGTGTCCGTGTAATATTGCAATGTGTTAACTACTACTTTATGATATCTACTTAATGCATGTATTTTTCGAATTGTGAAATGTAAAATGTTTGTCAACATGCAATTTCGTATGGGTTTGAGTCAGGGCTTAAAAGTGTATATTTGCAGAAAGTATTTCCGAATTGCAGAACAATTTTGTGACATTCTGCAATATTGCAGAACAGTGGAAAAGAAGTATTTCGACCACTGTCAGTGTTAGATGCTGATAAGTCCACTCCTAAAATCCTGTTTTTTTTGCAATACCGTAAATCTTGAAATGTTTCCAGTGGTTTTATTTTCTCCAACTCGATATTGTGACACAGCAAATTTGTGTTTCCATTGTATTACTACATCATTAGATAGCTTTAAACAATGTTTAGAGTTAGGTGTTTAAGGGTTAGGTGTAACAAGGAGTACGGTGTAATGTAACCAGCTGCCGCCGTGCTGCATGCCTGCAAAGCAGGTGTGTTATGCTGAAGGGTACATGTACTAGTTATACTTACGTCTAGCTACACAGATGCAGATACAGATACATGTACTACATACTACATACATAACTGTAAGAATTTGTTTAATCAGTTACTGTGAACAAATACAATAACAGGAAAGCTTCCCTTTCCAGCAAAATGAAGTCCTAGGAAAAATACATCTACTTTACAGTAGATCTATTCATGACTTCTAGCCCTTTCACACAGCACAACTGCAAATGTATGACTCAGCCATATTCCTACAAGAGTCTGTATAATTGAAGAACTACTTACCGCTATTGAATTATTCATAAAGAAGATAACGTTGAACTTGAAGCTAAAAGGTTCAGAGATCATGTAGAATAAGTTTACGCTGCAATTGTCCCATTCTTTATTACATTTTCCTTACAATATTGAACTGCCCACCAAAGAAGTACATTTTTGGTACCAAGAAATGACAGACTTAATCGTTCATACAATAAGAAATACTTTCGTGTCGTAAAATAGGTCCAGAAGAGCATTTATGAATTTTTAATTTTTCCATACAATCAATTTTTCTTACGAGGAATGTAATTTCTGAGCTCTACTCTTAAGGACAGTAAATGCCTAATAGTATATAGGGTATTGTTAAGTTCATTGTTAATTTAAACTTTAATTTCTCTTGAATTTGAAGTCAATGTACATGTATTAGTGCAATGGCACAGTTACTTACTAGTATACTGACTGTTTGCACGCAATGCAGCACTAGCACATGTTTTGTATAGTCATACTATATGGAATGGTTTTTGTCAAGAACATATACATGTAAAATTGTAAGTACAAACAAAAATAGACAAATTGAATGTACTGTACTTGTGTCATCTGAAATTGCTGAATAAATTCCTGTCTTGTTTGTACAGAAATGAAGCCAGGAGGAACCCAGCTAAAGCTGTTCATGGAGTTGGCAGACACCAGCATTGGCATGTTCAAGCCATGGAGGTAACGTAAAAATATCCCATAGCCACATATATAGATGATTAGAAACCTGACCAATTTTTGATTAATCTGCAGTTTCTTGTTCCATCTTATTATAGTAAGTACCTTTTTTTGAAATATTTGTATGCAATGTAATCTTATGGAGTTGCACGTTAATGTTTTCCTACATATGTCCATAATGTCAATGTCCCTCTTGGTGTCTTTTCAAAACCTGCACGTTTTGATAAGAGTAAAGGGATTCTATTACACAGAAGGTCATTGTATTCACCACCTTTACCCAGGAAATGGCACATTTTTAGGTGATGATAAAAGGGGTAGCTCGAGAGCTAGAATGCTGGAAGGGACATGTAATACAGGGCTCGAAACTCATTTTTGGGAATAGGTGCACTGGTGCACCCAACCTAAAAAATTGGGTGCAGAAAAAATATTTCAGGTGCACCATATAAGATAAAATAAGTAGAATGTCAGCAAAAACTATAATTATGTTTCATTTACAGAAAAGTACCAAAACAATGATTGTTATTTTTTCTGACACTTAGATGTTAAGAATATGCTGTAACTACTATACATTTAACATCTTTACATACATTAAACCTAAGAAAAAATTGGGTGCACTCCAAATTTGAGTGCACTAAGCTAAGGTGCACATGCACCCATTACATGTATTTCGAGCCCTTCAATACATAATGCAGGCAACTCAAATACCATGTAGAGCCTACTAGAGGGATGGATCTCTAGGTTAAATCAATATTCCTGTCTGTGTAGAAATCTGGAGGCTGCGGCTCCTGCTTAGTAAAGCCAGACCTGTCACAAAGTGATAGAGGCTTACTAAACAGGTGTCACACGGGCTAGATTCATCAGTGCTCAGGGTAAAATTTGGCAGTCAAAGTCTGATTCGGAGGAGACATCGGGGATATTTACACCAGAAGGGTGACGTGGGGTTAGCGATATGTCTGGTCCGGTTCACAATGGCGTTATGGATATATGCATTGGACGTGTCAAAGTTTGCCTGTGGTAAATAACTCATTTCAGCAATGGAGGCACTTCAAGGGTTGTGTCTGATATTTGTATGCAACTGAAGTGCTGAAAACCATTTGGACTATGAGAGAAGGGTGAATGTGTATTGCTATGGAGGTCTTGACATTTTTTTTGCAATTCCACTGTAAATTGACGATTAAGGGTACACACTTTTAAAAACTTTTCTTTGAAAGTCCCAATTAAAGTGTTTCAGGCTGTGGCCAGAGTTTGGGCAGGTACTTTATTTAAGGTTATTGCCCAGACAAATTGAAAAACAATCCTTGACACAGCCGCTTGGAGTGGCACCAATTCCATATAATCAAGATTCAGGGTTCTCCCCAGACGATGGAATAATGGAGGCGCCGCTATACTTCTCTCATAGCACCGCTATTCAAAAGGCTTAGATGAGGGTTTATCCAGACTGAACAGATTAACAGCACATGGGTGGGGTAGGATTGACAGGCAGAGTGACAGGAGGCCATCTGAAATAAACAGGCTATTATATTGCAAAGTGGGAGAAAACTTTTAGTACCTCTTGTATGTTCTTTGCATAGTTTGTTTTAGTACCTTAATGTACACTCTCCCAATCACCCCCCCCCCTCCCCCACCCAGGTGGCCAAGAGAAAGGAAGACCCCACCCAAGAAAACATGTAAACAGAGCAGTAGTTTTTGGGCTAGACCATGTGTAGGTAAACATTATGCGTTTGCCTTGCATATGTTACCTTTCTACATAAGTAGTTTCTTGTTAAATCATTC